TCCCCCCCCCCCCCTATTCTCCTTTTCCCCCTCCCTCCCAACTTCGTGGGAAAGCCAATACAACCACCACCATTCAGTCAGAGTTGAAGAAGCTTCTTGGATGAGAAGCGAAACGTCTTCAAAGAAAAAAGCCAGAAAGCCCCATTGCCTCCTAAAAAAGCATCTTTGGGACAAGCAGGACCTGGATGACTGGGAATCTCTACAAACGATGGTTGAAGTTACTTTTTCAGCACCATGATTTTGCACCACCTATTTCAGGCACCAAGGAGCATTATTACAGTAGGGAATGGAAATCAGAAAATAGGAAAATCAATCTAAATCACTCCTCTTATTTAGATTTCAAAAGGTTTGCCTGCTCTTGGGTGACGGCATTTGTATGCTTGCGGAGCAGCTGACATGATAATATTGGAGCCACCAATAAGGGGATTTGGAGAAGGGGCCTGGATCTGTCCTTGGGGCCTGAGCAATACAGGATTTCAAGCTGTAAAAATACATAGCTGGAATCTTGGGACTCTCCTACTGTAGATATTTACAAAACCAAACTCTTTGCATTTCTCACATTTTCTAGTCTCAAAAATGCAAATTTTAAAATTTCATTTTAGATAACATTAATTTTTTTTTCAAATAATAGCTGATTATTAGGTATTAGGTGATATTTTAGTCATCCTAGAGAGGGCCATCAAACATGGGCTTTGTAATATTGTACTTGCTAATGAACATGGGGTTTTTCTGTATCTTTCTCTTCTTTAAATTATTAACTTATAGTTTATCAGCTGGAAATATAGAATTTTTCCCTTAATAATTGGACCCTATTCCTGCTGATTGATTGTTGCATTTAACATTTCCTAACTACAAGATAAACAATTTTTGCTCTGCAGGTGAGGATGGGGCAGAAGTGCATTTGGGAAACAGGATGCCTGAAGTTTATCTTCTGAAAGATAACTCTTTCAGTGATTGTCTATTACGTTTTCTACTATAATTAAGGGCTGCAAATTTTATATTAATGGCATTATCTATACTTCAGCTAGTACTTTTTCTAGCCCACAAGTTCTACATCTTAAGTACACTCCTTTTCTCCCAGCAGGAAATGCATCTCATAATTCAATCTACTGTATTTCAATTACATAGAGCAGCTCATGATTCATTCAAGAATAATATTTCTGGTTTCAAAAGAGCTACCCTTATAGTGCTTACAAATGTGATCAGGGATTAGCAGCCTGATACCTCTCAGGTTTTGGATTCAGTATCAGACCACATAACTAATGCCAAAGGACTGTGAGAATTTTCTCCAAATCACAACTGCAGCTTTGAATGTCTTTTACAAGCTTGAACATCCGTAAAGGTAAAAATCAACTTCAAAAGAACAAAAACAGTTGCCTCGTGAAAACATTTTTACTACACTGTACACTATTGTGGAACAATACATTTTATTTAATATCTAAAGAGCAACATATAAGGATGATTTGCAGAAGTATCTTTTTTTAAAAAAAAAAAGTTCTGTTCTCAAGTCATCCAAGAAGGAAACATTTTGGGTGAATTCATTGAATACCCTTTCCTTAACAGAATCCTTCTGTTGGAAATGTGTTTATCAGGTGTCCAGTTCCCTTCTTTTCTTCTTCCAAAAAGGCAACTAAATGATGCGGTGGCAACTGTAGAATTGGATGCAACTAGAAAGCATTCTTAAACAGCAACGGTGTAATTTACTGTAAGCATCAATTCCACAGATTATCTTTTCTTGCCAAATACTTTTTTCATGATTAAGGGATCCAACAGTATTGCTTGTCTATTTGATTTCTATGTTGTCGCAGCGAGCCATGAGGATTTAGTTCTTGAAAAGAGGGTCTTTGATATCCTTGAAACTGTTCCTGGGAGAAGAACAGCCTATTGCTGGGCCTGACATCGTGACCTGATCTCTGATGCCTCATGTCGGCTGAAGGGGGTCGTTGTGGACTGCACGCTTGGTTCCCTTCGCTGTAACAGGTGATGAGATTCTGGTTCCAGATTTGGGGATGCTTCCTTAAATAAAGAGCGTCAGATTTCAGGGCAGAACAACGGATCCTGAAGAAGTCCTGCTGCTAATCTCTGGCCCCACAACTTAAGTTTTCGAACTTAATGGTTCAAATTGCAATGGATGAACCCCCTGCTGTTTAAACTTTAAAGCAGTTTAAAATGTTGCTAATTATTGGTAAATTGCAAGGTTCCAATAAGGCTTGATAAGAGTTTTAGTTACAGGGTAATCTCCACTCTGCTCACAAATCATTGCAGATTAATCTCAAAGGTAGTCATACTATACTTTTATTCAGGGCAACAGCAACAATTAAAAGTACAGCGACTCTTGCTGTAATTTGCATATTAATATAACAAAGCCCATTTGGTCCAGTGGTTAAGGTCCTGGATTAGAAGTCATGAGTTCTAGTCCTGCTTTAAGCATGGGGGTGGGGGACAGGCTGATGACTGGGTAGCCACTGTCTGCCCCCTCTAGGAAGAAAGTACTGACTAGCCACTTGAAAAAAGATCCTATTCCTACAGTCACCAGGAGCCAGCCCTTCTTCTTAATGGACAATAACTACATAGCATATACAAAAGTGTACAGTTGTTTTGTTGCACTTTATCACTTCCTGGGTTAACCACAGAAATTAGGGAGCCTGATGTGGGGCATTCTGACAGCCTGCTAGATAATAGCGCTTAGACTTATATACCACTTCACAGTGCTTTATAGTCCACTCTAAGCCGAGTAGCATGTTGCCCCAACCATCCGGGTCCTCATTTTATCAACCTTGCAAGGATGAGTCAACCTGTCAGGATCGAACTCCTGACAGTCAGCCTGGGATACTGCAATCTAACCACTGCGCCACCATGGCTCATGGATAAGTATAAAAGCCAGTATTTACTATAAAATTAGTCCATGAATGTTTGGAACAGAATGTGTTCCAGGAACCATACTTTCTCTCACACCTGAGCATTGTCAAAAAAGGATACTAGAAACCCAAATCCTTACTCTAGAAATAGTTATGCAAAATCAAGATAACAATGCAGCTTTAAATTACACAATTCATCAGGACAATTTATGACTGGCTATTGCAGTAGAACATGACCATCCCTGAACAGATGTCCTCTTCGTCTAACACCAACCAGAGATACACACTTTATCTGCAGGCGTTTCCATGAATCCTCTGCCATTTACCTTTTTTGGCTTCGTCCACCTTTCCTAAGTGGAAAATTCCTGAAACAGAAAGAAGGCAAAAACTGTTGATGCACAAATAACAGGAGCGTTTGTGGAAGGAAAGGCTGACGGGGCCAATGTGAGCCCATCCTTTCTTTTGTTTTCTCCCCTGGAAATTTAGGGCAATCTGGAGCATGCCTGGTTTCCTCTGATAAGAAAGAAGCACTAATAGCACCAGAATGCGGGTGTTGACTTTATAGCATGAAGACTTAAATCATAAGTGTTAAGAAGGAATTTAGGAAAGTAAGTTTGGTAAACTAAGCTGCCCAGGGCTACCTTACAGGGGAGATGGGCAGCATAACAATTTAATAAACAGTAATAACTGCCTGTCTAGGATATTGTAAATAAACTGAACTGGTTGCAATGGTTGTTCCAAGCAATGCCCATCTAGGCATAGTATGAAGATGAAGACAACCGACTTATTCAATAAACTATAATGTATTATAATATTTATAATACTGTATATATGTAAGTTAATGTGACAACCACCCAATGATTACAAGTGTGGGATTACTGTTCTAAACATGATTTAATCACTGATCTCACATATCACAGTATGTCAGAAACAAACCATCTACCAGGAGACATGTAGGTAGCAGTTGGCAAGGTAAAGATTTCACACAATTTTTAATAATTTAAAAAAGCCAAGGGAAGGTGGTTAATCTTTCCATCCAAAACACAGCAACTGTAGCCTGCTCTCTGCAAACAGTGCCCCTCCCACAGCCTGGCTCCTTAACCAACCTACTAAGCCACTATGCCTCCTCCTCCTCCTCCTCCTCAGTTGGCCAAGTGATCGGGGTGGGGAACTTGTGGGAAGAAAACTTTAAATGGGACCAGACTGACCTCTCTGCTATTCAACTGTTTTCCAGGGAAAATAAGTCCTATAAGTAGGAAAAACAGGCAGGCGACCAAGGAACTACCAACTCTCCCCCTTCCCTCTGGAGAACAAGCCTAAGGAAGACACAGCTTGAAGGGCTCTACACTCTTCTGGGGACTGGGGAGGGAACAAGATGCTTCTGGAAGTTACTTGAGCACATGTCAACATCTAACTTTACCCTAATCTTTTCTATTTTTATATACAGAACCACAGAAGGTTCTATGTTCACTTAATTATACCGAATCCGTGGGAAGAAAAGAAGAAAAACCTTGGTGCGTGTTTCCAGTTCTGTGGTCCATAGTCAGCATCTTCATAATCAGGGCTTTGGGCGTAACTCACAGGCCCTTTCATCCAATTCCGTTGTGAACCATCCATATGATGATGGTTCCTTTAGAAAAAAGATAAGGAAGGTTAAAAGCATTCTTATTTTTACAGTTTGCAAGATCTTTTTTCATAGCCTTTGATTTATGTCATATACACACACCTATTCTATACATATATAGCTATCTCATTATTATAGGTTAATACTTTCCTCTTATGCCTTATGATATATACCGTATATACTCGAGTATAAGTCGACCCGAATATAAGCCGAGGCACCTAATTTTACCACACAAAACTGGGAAAACTTATTGACTCGAGTATAAGCCAAGGGTGGGAAATGCAGCAGCTACTGGTAAATTTCAAAAATTAAAAATAATTAATTTGGGAAACGATCTCACTATCATGAAAGGTTTGATTCACTAACCCAAAAGAAGAAGATGATGACGACAGCGGGAGGCAGGAGTCACTCTCTTCCCCTCCCCTCGGAGGCCCCCTGAGTCAGGAGTCGCTACCGCCGGCACGGCCCCAGTCCCGCGTCGCCTCGGGAAGGGAAAGGCAAAAAGGAAGAGCCGCGGCAGCGCTTTGCAACGGCAGCAGCGGCACCGGAGGCTCAGGCTCAGCGGCTCCTGGTTTTGCCCCACCCTTCCCAAGGCAAGGCAGGACCGGAGCCGCACTGGCGGCAGCAACTCCCGACAGCCCCAGCCGGACACCTGAGTGGAGCCCGGGTGGAACTGCCTGTTGCCGCCGTGGGCGCCGCTGCGGGCGCCCGGCTGCCCAAGTAAAGAACAGGGCAGCGCCAGACCATCAGAGAAGCGGAGCAAAGCCGGAGACCAGCAGCCGCCTCCCTCGGCGCAGAAAGCCTCCCCCAACCAGCCGGCCGGTCTCCTCCTCCTCGGTCACACAGAACAAACAGGCAGAGAAGGAGGAGAGCAGCCGGCCAGCCGGGGGAGGCCTCCCGTGCTGTGAAAGAGGCAGCCAACGATCTCCGGCGCCGCCCTGCTCCACGCGCTGGCTGCTCGGACTTGCCGGGCCCGGCACATAGAACAGGGCGGCGCCGGATGTTGGAGAAGCCGAGCGGAGCCGGGGATCATTAGCTGCCTCTTTCGCAGCACAAGAAGCCTCCCCCAACTGGCCAGCTGCTCTCCTCCTTCTCTGCCTGCTTGTTCTGTATGGCCGAGGGGGAGACGACCAGCCAGCTGGTTGGGGGAAGCTTTCTGCCCCGAAAGAGGCAGCTACTAATCTCCGGCTTTGCTCCGCTTCTCCAATGGTCCGGCACCACCCTGTTCTTCTTGTGCTGCGAAAGAGGCGGCTAATGATCTCCGGCGCCGCCCTGTTCTATGTGCTGGCTGCTCGGACTTGCCGGGCCCGGCACATAGAACAGGGCGGTGCCGGATGTTGGAGAAGCCGAGCGGAGCCGAAGCCACCTCGGCTCGCGTTGTTTTCTGAGCCCGCGAGCCTAGAGCCAGGGCGCTTTCATTGCACAGCGGAGCTTCTTGTCTCGGGAAAAACCGAGCGTCGTTGCTGCCCCCTGAGGGGAGGGCGATTCTGGGCTGCGCGATTGGGGGACTTCGTGGCTTTGGGTGGGAGCGAGGGCGGACTGAGTCCGTGAAGTGGGGCTTGCCTGCCCTTGCTGGCTGCCTCTGCTTCCTTAGGGGCGGGGAAGGGGGCTCATCTGGACCAAGGGTGAGTCTCCCCCTCAGTCTCCCCTGAAGGATCTTCCGTCGCTTTTGCCTTCTCCCTACATCTTCCCTCTGTTAAAATTCCACACACACACACACACACTTATTTTCGGGCGGATAGATTTCGTGTCTGAGCATTCTCACATGACGGTGGGTCTTCCCCCCCCCTAAAAACAGTTAAAAAAAAGAAAAAATATATCCTCATGCAAGAACTTTTCTGCTTCCGATTACCCCCATGCTTAAAAGTTGCAAAGGAAACACGGAAGCAGGGAAGCGCCTGCCCAGCTCTGGAGCTCCGCAACATTTTTTTTTCAGAGGGGAATCTGACTCGAGTATAAGCCGAGGGGGGGGTTTTCAGCACAAAAAATGGGCTGAAAAACTCGGCTTATACTCGAGTATATACGGTAATTTATCTTTGATCAATCCAATTATACCAACAATTCCAACTATCATAATATAGTGAAGTATCTTTGTTTTTTAGTGCCAAAGTCAGTTTGTCCATTTCTGCACATTTTGAAATTTTATCAATAATCACTTCATCTGGTGGAATTTGATGTTGTTTCCAATATTGAGCGAAGGCTAATCTGGCCGTGGTTAAGATGTGTATTGTTATGTATTTAGCTTTTTTGGAAATTTGTTTGTCAAAGATCCCTAGTAGGAAGAACTCTGGTTTATATTCGATCTGCTCTTTTATAATTTCTTCCAACCAAGTTTTGATTTTCTTCCAGTAATTTTGGGTTTCTGTACATGTCCACCACATATGGAAAAAGGTTCCTTCTTTTTTCTTGCATTTCCAACAATACGGACTCATGTTGGGGTGCATCTTCGCTAGTCTCGAAGGAGGGAAATGCCATCTATAAAACATTTTATAAAGATTTTCCTTGTATGCTACCGATTTTGTGATCTTATTATTCCTGCCCCAAACTTTTTCCCATTCCGCTAGTGTAATACTACGTCCTACGTTCCGACTCCACGCAATCATATTCCCTTTTACAATTTCTTCTTCTAATTCTGTTTCTAGTAAATAATTGTAAAATTTTGTTATGTTTTTTTTGTCCGGTCCTAATAAAATTTTATCTAATTGTTGAAGTTTGTTGTTAATTCCAAATTCTTTCTTGTCTTGTTTGTACCTACTTTGAATCTGAAGGTAAACCCATTGATCAATTTTTTGTCCCTGGTCCTGAATTTCCTGCCTCGATTTCAAATTTCCTTGTGGGTCCAATAAGTCTTTATATTTAATCATTTTAGTAATTTCCAGATTGTTTGGGTGAATCATCGCCTCCATTGTTGAAATCCATATTGGTATTTTTATGTAATGTTTTTTCCGTATTTTCTTCCAAATTGTTAGTAGCGCGTCTCTAATTAAATGTCTATGAAAATATTTTTGACTGGTTTTCCCTACGTCCCATAAGAAAGCGTGCCACCCCCTTTGTAAGTCGTGGCCTTCTAGAAATAATATTCTTTTATTAGTTAAATTCACCCAGTCCTTCAACCAAACTAACGAGGTGGCCATATAATATAACTCCCAGTTTGGGACTGCTAACCCTCCTCTGCTCTTCATATCTTGCATTGCTTTTACGTTTATTCTGGGTTTTTTCCCTTGCCAAATAAATTTGAGGGTTATTTTGTTAAGTTCTTCAAAGAACTTTTTGTGTAATTTAATTGGGATCGTTTGGAACAAGTATAGAAATTTGGGGAGAATGTTCATTTTAATGGTGGCAATCCTACCTAATAGTGAAATTTGAAGTTTACTCCATGATTCTAAATCTTTCTTTACCTGATGTAACAATTTGTCATAATTATTTTCTTTAAGTGACTTACAGTGTGGTGTTAGCCAAATTCCTAGATATTTCACTTTCTTTGTCACTTGTATTTCCATTGTTTCTTCTAATTCTATTTTCTGTTTTTCTGTTAAATTTTTGGTCATTAATTTGGTTTTTTCCCTCTTTATTTTAAGTCCTGCTAGTGCTCCAAATTTCTCTAGTTCTTTCATCAATTTTAGTCCCCTATCTATTGGTTCTTCAATGAAGAAAATCATGTCGTCCGCAAATGCTTGCAATTTAAATTCCTCTTTCTTGACCGTTAATCCCTTTATATCTGAATTTTGCCTAATTCGCGTTAATAATGTCTCTAATGATAATATGAAGAGCAGAGGGCAGTCCTGTCTCACTCCTTTTTCTATCTTTATTGGGCGAGTGTGTTCCCCGTTTATTATTATATTGGCTTGTTGTGTGTCATAGATAGTTGTTATAATATTTTCAAATTTGGTACCCAGATTCAAATTATAAATTTTTTGAAATTAAAAATTGCCAATTCAGATTATCGAAAGCTTTTTCTGCATCTAGGAACATGAGTGCTACTTGTCTCTCAGGGTGGGCTTCATAAAATTCTAGTACGTCTAATACTATTCTTAGATTATTCTTTATTTGCCTAGTTGGAAGGAATCCGTTTTGATCTTCATGTATATACAAGTTTAGCAATCTTTTTAATCTGTTTGCTATAATAGAAGTGAATATTTTATAATCAGTATTTAGGAGTGAAATCGGCCTGTAATTGTTTATATATCTGGGATCTGTATCCTCCTTCGGGATCAGCGAAATCAGCGCCCCCCTCCATGAGTCCGGCATCCTGGCTGCTAGTAAAACGTCATTAAAAACTTCCAACATAAATGGTCCGATTTGTTCTACTATTCCCTTGTAGAGCTCCCCTGGGATTCCATTGCTGATTTCAATTCAGTAATGTCTTTATTTAATAGTTCTGCCATTTCTTCCCCAATTACCTTATCTTTAACTTCATCTAAATAATTCCTTATTCTATCTTCACTAACCTCTTCTTTTTTGTATAGATCTTCAAAGTATTTATGAATGATTTCTTTTTTCTGTTCTATTTCCTGGTATATACCGTATTTGCCGGCGTATAAGACGACTGGGCGTATAAGACGAGCCCCCAACATTTCCACTCAAAATATAGTTTTTGTTATATACTCGCAGTATAAGACGACCCCCCCCACTTGGAGGCATGCTTTTCAAGGCAAAAAAGTCGTCTCATACGCCGGCAAATACGGTAAGTTGTAACACTTGGGGTATTCTGGATATAATTCTTGATTGACACCCCCAACCCCTTTCCCCCAAACTTACAAAGCCACCAAAATGCTTTAGAGAGGCAGCTTCGCCTTTCTCAGGCTGGCACTCAATTCCTCTCCCTTTCTTTGTGACAGCCCCCGCGTGCGTGCCATCGGGACTCCAAGGGTGGGGGATGGACAGCTGCCAACTCTCTCTCTCTCTCTCTCTGTGTGTGTGTGTGTGTGTGTGGTGTGGAGGGTAATTCCGGCTATATCTGGGCTCCGCTCGGTTTTAAAGTCGCTTGGCCGGTTCCCAAGTCGCAAGCGCGCGCTGGCCGGGAGACGCGGCGCCGGGTGGAAGCTCGGTGCAGGGGAGGCAGATCTTTCTCTCTTAAGCGGGGAGGGGAGGAGGGGACAAGAGGAGGGACGGGACGGGACAGGGGGCGGGAGGAGGGCGCTCGCCTTCTTCCACCGCCCACCGGACCCTTTTCTTCCCAAGGGGACCCTGGAAAGCAGCTCGGGAGCCGGGTGGCCCTGCCCAGCGGGGTCCCATCAGGAACTTCCTGAGGACACCCCCCCCCGCCCCAAGCACAGCCCTCCCGGTCTTTCAAAGAGGGAGGGAGAAGCGGGAGGAGCAAATTGCCGCCCCCGCCCCGCTGCCCAGAAGGAGGGGCGCCACAGTCCACCCCCACCACCTTCTCCCCCCCCCACTCCCCGGGCCATTACGCGGCTCGGGGCTGGCTGGGCGAAGCGGCCCCGCCAGAGACCCTCCCGCTCCACCCCCACCCCACCTCCAGATTGGCCTCCGCAAGCGCCCCGAGCCGGGCGGAGGGTGGGTGGGTGGGTGGGAGGAGGAGGAAGAGAGACTTCGGCTGGGCTTGAAGGGGCTTCGCAAGTTGCGGAGCTCCGCCCCCATCGCTCTTACACCGAGTGACAATGTATTTACCGGCGTATAAGACGACCCCCCCACTTGGAGGCATGTTTTTTAGGGCAAAAAAGTCGTCTTATACGCCGGCAAATACGGTATCTCCCTTGTTATCTATTAACTGGCATATCATTCTCTTTTCTTTCTTTTTTTTTAAATTTATAAGATAGCCATCTTCCTGGCTTGTTGGCATGTTCAAAATAGGTTTGTCTAGTCAAATTCAAATTTGTAATCATTTTCTCTTGTTCGATTAAATTCAATTTATATTTAGCTATACTTATCTGGTTTTGCAGTTTTGTATCTTTTGGAGTATTCTGTAGTAGAGTTTCTAGCTCCTTAATTCTTTGTTGTAGTTTATTTTGTTGGGAATATTTTTCCTTATTTCTCTTGGCATTATAAGAGCACATATCAACATCTAACTTTACCCTAATCTTTTCTATTTTTATATACAGAACCACAGAAGGTTCTATGTTCACTTAATTATACTGAATCCATGGGAAGAAAAGAAGAAAAACCTTGGTGCGTGTTTCCAGTTCTGTGGTCCATAGTCAGCATCTTCATAATCAGGGCTTTGGGCGTAACTCACAGGCCCTTTCATCCAATTCCGTTGTGAACCATCCATATGATGATGGTTCCTTTAGAAAAAAAGATAAGGAAATTTAATATTTAAAATGCTGCTTTCAGGGGTCCAGAATATCTGCCAATTAACTTCTAGATGGTGGGATGCTAGCCGGAGTCTTTTGGCTTGCAGAGAGTCTCTGCTATAGCAGGTTCCAGTTTGCCCAGAACAGGGGAAAAAAACAAACATGGTGTAAAACTGGACTTTGGTTGCATTGCAGAAGTTATGCAAGTTGTGCTCAAGCTGACCAACTTAGCAGCAGGAAGCACTGCGTTGAGATGAGTTTATCTCTAACCAGGAATTAGTCCATGCCTTCTTTTTATGACAAGCATGATGTGAAAACCTTGGTTGAGGAAAGTCATGGTGAAAATGGGACTCCGAACATAAGAGTCGTCACTGGTTGTAATGGAATGTGCGGATGACAACCTTGGGGGAGGAAGGAAAGACACTGCCTGGGGAACAGCTGGACAAGAGAAGCAGGAGCCCCAGTGGCTTAATGGTGGAGAAAGAAACTTAGGAAGGACCCCCACCCTGGTGGTTCAGGGGATTAAAAGGGACGGTGTGAATCTTATTTGCAAGACGCTGTTCATGGAGCCAGGGGTCTCCAATCTTAGCAACTTTAAGCCTGGCAGACTTCAATTCTGCCAGGCTTAAAGTTGCTAAGATTGGAGACCCCTGATGTAGCTTTTACAATAAGGCAGAATTCGCTCATCTAAATCCTGTCTGGTTTACCTGGAATAGCTGACAGTGGTAAAGGGCATGAATTAAGGAATGAAATAAATGGAGGGGAAAAAATAAAATGCGTTGTGTGTCTGGGAAACTAAAAGAAACAGGAACGATGTAAAAACTAAATAAAGGTGGCCTAATCAATTTGGAGAAAATGTGCAGGAAAGTCATGTTCCCCTGGTTTAATGTACTCATGGATAAATATGTAGGAAATGTGATTATAGCATGGCGATTGGGATGTCAACATACATGTACTTTGCATGTATACAATGGTGTGTTGTTGGCCAAATGATTTGCAGTGTGTGAAGGAGATGTTCATATGTTGCTTATAGGATTATATGCAAGAACCAGCAACAAACGGAACACCGTTTCGCAGGCAGGAATTCAATAGTACAAAATGCAAAAAAAGGTTGGAGTGCTCCATTTCAGCAAGTCACACTGGAAAAGAGAACTACCTTGTTCTAGATGTTTTCCGGAGAGCAGAAATATAGTTCTTCCTCTCTATAGGATGTCCCCTACATCTGTTGAATACTGTGAAAGGGAAAAATAGCTTTGATGTTCTGTGTGCCCCACTATATAGACGTTACTTCTACACATACTATTTTCATTAAAGCACAAAGCAGAAGCTCATCTGACTTTTAAGCTCAATTCCAGAGCTTAATTCCAGAGAATCTTGGAGATTTATAAAATAAACTATTCTATCCCCACAGGCAATTTTCTGACATGGGGCCAGAGGGCGGGCACTGGTTTCTCAAGGAAACACCTATATTTGCAACGGGGAGATCAAGATAGTTTTCCCTGGAAACTCCATCACCGCTGCCAATCAGAAAACCATTTTATGCAAAACGCCTCATTCTGTCAGTGGAACATTCAGGACATTCCAAACTTCACTTTCACCATGGTAGTCCCTACTGGAGTTTACTGCCGACCCAGTATTAGCAACGCAATGCAGACTGTGCAACAAGAAAAATAAATCTTTAGAAAAAGCATTGCAGGCCCTTTTCTTTATCAGTGCAATTCAAATTTCATGTTTTTTTACAAGTTATGAAAAAAGTTTAACCTGAACAGTCAGAGAAGTTTACTTTCTAGATAATCTGATGGATTATATCACCAATATATATTTTGTCTAATCAGAACTTTAAAATGTTTCTTTTTTCCCCATGATAGCTTGTAAAATATGCCTGCAATTGATAGCTATTTTTTGGTTATCATATTCCATAATCCCACTATTTCAATAAGCAGGACATTAGATATTAGGTTAATTCACAGTCCTCATTTGTTAATGTTTAATGCTTTTTGTCTTTCTTTTTTGGCTGTGCAAACTGTTACATTTGTTAGCTATCTGCTATTTTATCTATCCTACTGGTTAGTGTAGGCAACGAAGAGTTGAATCAGAGTGCTCTCAATTGAGGGCACAATACTTACATTCTATTGCCCTGTTTGGATCCATTCCTTCAACATCAATAAGGTATCTTAACAACAACAATACACAAGAAGAAAACTAACGTAAGAAAAAAATTACAACACAGTGAAGCCCATTCAAGAGACTTCAGTGCAACAGACCATAAACAGAACAAATTCACTCTCAGATTTTCATAGTCTGCACCATGTAAATTTAAGGGGAAATTCGGTTTGCTGAAAACAGCCTGTTTACTAAGATCCAATAAAATGAGGTTTTATGCAGTTTATGCAATATCTGTGCAATGATATAATTACACAAATGAGATAAATGAGCACAAACGGCATTATTTGTACGTCATCATAACTCCATAGAAATGAGGTCTCATAACACTTTAAAAAAAAATTGGTTCAGTTTCAAAATACATTAATTGCATTACAATAATTGAATATTTACTGTGCATTAAAAACCAACAGAAACAGAAGAATTAGACATCAATTTTCTAAATAAAAAAACTTCTTGTCTTCTCCCATCCTTTCTTTGTCCTTCTATAGTATTAAGACTAACAGAAACTAACATTTCTAGAGGAATTATAATTAACTGAGCTACAATCCAGTTATAAATAACAATCTATCAACTGAAGATAGACAGAAACTGACATTGCTGCAGCAGATACGAATTTCCAAATCAGACCAGTAGAATCACTTTGTTGCTTAGAAAAAATTACCTGCAAACAAGGTAACCTGTTCGATTCAAACCATGTGTGCAGTGGACTCCTATAAGTTTGTCTGGGGAGATAGGAAATACAAATGGTGTCTTTATAAAAGCCCCATCACAGAGATAATTTTAATTTTAGCTGCTTTTATACATGAACAAATATATATCTGGTTTTTTTCATGTACTGCAAGAGGCAGTAGTATTGATGGACAGATTGCCTTGAGATGGTCCACAAACAGGTTTAGGAATAGAATTTTTGGAGTTTAATGTAAAATTCTGTTACTAAATCAAAGTGTTTGCACATCCAATCAGACTCACCATTATGCTGGTTCTCTTTGAGGAATTTTTTCACAGCACCGTTGAATTTAGAAACTATAGCGTGATTAGGTACTTTATGTCCAATTGTTAAAATCTTACAATATTGCAGTGTATCTGGTAGCTCCTAAAAGAAAATGCAAAGCATTTGAAATAATTGAAATGAATATCCAAACAGCCATTTAAGAAAAAATAAATCAGCTCAATAAAGCAGGCAAAAAATGACAATGTGTTATAATTGTTATATTCAGGAAACCAACTTAAAAACCCCTTTTCTCAAAATTGCCTCTGTAATCCCAAAGCAATGACTGTATTAAGAATTAAGGTTATATAACTAATCCCTGTTAAGGGAAACTTACCATTGGCTCATAATAGCGTGTTGTATATGTTAAATCAATGATCAAACCAAGCTCTTCTTTTTGCTCTTTGATTTGAGTGATAAGGTCTAAGGGAGAAAAACGCTCATCTGGGGCAAGCCTCCATTCAAAACTCTGGAAAAAAATATTAAACGTTGCTGCTAAATTGCCAAAGACACTCTGATACATACCAGGAGCCAAGCACAGCTGTATTTGCACAACCTTGTGTAACCTGAGTACAAAACAGTCCTCAGTTAATAATTTGGAAGGGAACTCCATCAGTAAGTAATAATTGTTGTAAAGCAAATTCAACTTCTCTAAATGTCCAATTTCACTAAAGCAATGAAATCTAGTTCAAGGCCCTGTTAATGTAGCCTCACAATAATGTGAAATTAGTTGATCAGATCCTGTTTCCTGGGAGGTCTGCCAGAATGTCAAACATATAGATCAGACCTAGAAGCAAGAAATGGAGGCCCTGAACAGCAAATCATGTTTGGGGAGCCAGTAAATATGAAAAAAAACTGGCCTCCAAAACTTCCCCCAATTAATATTGTCAATGTTCAGGCTGAAATTTACCCTGTGGAACCCAAAATGCCTGTAGTGTCCATCAATGTCCAGATAAATTTATTTAGGCTACTTTTATGACACTTTACTTGATGCTGTAGCTGAAAACTTCACTAATTTAATTTAATTTATGACACTTTACTTGACTCCATAGCTAACAAGTTCACTGATTTAAATTTGCTTTCAAAATCTTTCCTTTGGGGGGGAGGGTAGAGGAATCTTTTGTTAAAGCTACACTAAATCTACAAATTGCTGATATACTGCCAGCAAATCACCCGCCCCAAGAGACGTTTTCATCTTTCAAAGGCGCTGAAAAATCAAAGCAATGGAGTGGCTACGTTCTTCACCTGACTTACCTCCTTCAGGGGAACTTTGAAGGCAATAAAGCGGGTCCCGGACATTCTTTTTCCAAGAGGCAGGTAATCAGTCCACCTAGGAAGGAAACGTCACAACGTATTGCTTTTGCTTCGATGGGGTTAGGACAGAGTTTCAGTGAGGAAGGATAATGCAGAACAGGGGCTCCCAAACTTGGCCCCTTTAAGCCGTGTGGACTTCAACTCCCAGAATTCCCCCGCCAGCTGTGCTCCAGGCTTAAAGGGGCCCAGGTTGGAGACCCCCGACCCAGAGCGCAAGCCTTGTGGTGGAATCAGCTCCCACCTGGCAGTTAGAAAGCAGGCAAATGCACCGCTTGGGTGGCTTTTAGGGCTCGGCTCCCGCCTGTTCAACCCCGCAACACCCGCCGTCCCGCTCACCTGTCCGGCAGGCCGCCCCTCCGGTTCCCCATGGGCCCCCTCGGGCCGGAGCCACCCTCGCCGCCTTGACGCTGTTGCCCGGGAGACCCGGCCTCCGACGCTTCCGCCTTCCGGCCGTGGGCGGACCCAGAGCTTCCGGTACGGCCCTGCCAACCGCCGGGCCGCAGGGGGAGCACCCGAGGGACCCCCACGCCGCCGCCGCCGCCGCTCCCGCCCTGCGCAGCGCCACCTGCAGGCGGGCCGGGGTATCGCGCATGCGCCCAGCCGCCCTCGGCCTGCTCCTCCGGCCTGCAAAGCTGCTCCGGGCCCCGAAAGGGGAGACACAGCCTGCCGGCCCGCGCGCCCAACCTGCCTCCGGACCTGAACGCCATCGCCGCCGCCGCTCCCGCCTCCCCGCACCTCCTCGCGCGTGCGCAGAAGCGCGAGGCCTGGCCGGGTCAATCACGCCGCGGTGGCGTCGCCGCCCTGCTGCTCGGCCGGGGAAGCAGGTGAGCGGCGCTTCCGCCGGGGAGGGGGCGGCGTAGTCCTCGACGGGAGCTGTAGTCCGGGAGGGGCCTGCGGTCTGCACATGCTCAGGAGCGCCGACGTCCCCCGCCCCCCCCTCACGTCGGGTGGGCCGCGCCGGGGAGGCTCCCTTCGGGTGGCCGCGCGGGGCCTTCGGGCGGCGCCTCCGCCTCAGCGGCGCCCGGAGAGCATCGGCCCCCGACCTTCCCGCCTCGCAGATGGAGCTGCCTCCCCGGCGGGCCGTTCCCGCGGGGCTGGGGATCCCCGCCGTGGAAGAAGCTCTCGGGGCGGGCGCGCCGTCGGCCGCTTCGGGCCCTTCGCTTTCCCGGGTGCCTCCCCGGCTGCTGCGGGGGGGGGGCTTTGCTGACCCCTGCAGGGGTCAGTCTCCCCCCCTCCCCCCGTGTACCATTCAGGCCAAACTTAAATGGGAAAGAGCAATAACACCCCCTCCCCCATAATGGGGGGGGGGGGTTGCTGCCGTAGAGATACTGGTGACCCCCAGTTTTCGATCGCCGCTCTGGGGGCCCTTTTGGCCTCGGGGGGCTGAGAGAGAACCCAGCAAGGCACAGGATCCTTACTGCCTGTCCATCAAAGGTGGGTCTGCTGGAGGGGGCCCCTCTTTTGACTTCGGGGTCCTTCTGGACTAGCAGCTCCTGCAAGCACAGCAGGCCCTGTGGGGGCTGTGGCCAAAAAGGCTTTGCCCCATTTTGGTCAAGGTGGCATGAGGAGGAGGAGGAGGAGGAGGAGGAGGATCTGGTCGTGCCCTGCAGAGGGGTTGCACCTGGAGGTGCCTCTGAAGACCTCACAAAGGCTGCTGCCCTTGACTGAGAGTAGGGAGTATTCACCAGCAGAAACTCTTGACACCAGGGCTGCAAACTCTGCGTTGGGGACCCGGTTGCTCCTCGGTGCAACTTAAAGTGCTGGTGTTCAGTGCACCACGTGATCATCGGTTGGAGCAGGTTCTCCCCCTGGAATGGGTCCAGCCGGTTTGGTTTACCTGGGAGAGGCAGGGCCAGGCTGCTTGTTGGCAATGCTCTTCTGAAGTGGGGGGGGCTCCGTTCTCAGCTCTCCTAGAAGGCCGATTGGGTTGCGATTCCCTCTGGTTGGATGATAGTTTGGCTTTGTTACTAATTGCATGCTATTTTTTTTAATCTGTATTTTATAATCTATTTCCTTGTGCATTTTATCTTGAAGTTGCGAAGAGTGCTTCAGAATCCTAGCAGCCTGTGATTAATGAATAAATGAATCTGGGCTACAGAGCACGCAGCCCTAGCTTGTGTTTTTTTTTCATGCCGTGCTGCTTGCTCATCCCTTCTCCTTCCCTTCCGGACAGAACGATGTGCAGCTTCGACAGCAGGTTGTGCCACAGCTGAACACAAAAGGCTGAAACATGTCTTATCGAGGGAACGAGCGTGATTTTCAAACCTCGGCACGGAGGATGGGGACCTCTCTGCTTTTCCAGCTCTCAGTCCACGAGAGGGAACTGGACTTGGTCTTCCTGGACCACAGCTATGCCAAGCCCTGGAGTGCCCACCCTGATGCCAGTAATGCTCGTCCCACACGCCTGCTGTTCGTCACCCCCAAGCGACATCAGGACAATAGCGCTGCGTGAGTTCTATCTCTCTCTCTTTCTTTCTCTGCCTTCTGTGTGGTTGAGCTGAACATTTAATGGGACCAACACTTGACCAGGCCATATGTACTGAGCCGATGTTATTTCGAGTGCTGCACGTACTGCCTGGGTGCTGATTTTCATAAAGCTCCTAAGCCATTAAAGAGGAACAGAGGGTTACAAAATGCTCCTTATCTTGAAACTGCGGTATCTCTTTCCAGGGAGGCCGATGTTCCTATTGATGTAGAAACAGTGACACCAACACCTGTGCCCCTCTATGACAACCAGAAAGCCCGAACTGTGATGAATGAGTGTGAACGCCACGTGATTTTTGCCCGTACAGACACTGATACACCTCCTCCACCTGAGGACTGGGAGGAACATATGAACAGGTATAAAAATGAGTGGCAGGAAGAAAGCCCTTAGAACTGCTGATGTGGCCTCTATCTTGATGATGGTGTTTCTGATCTGAGTATAATTTGGGGACATACAATATTAGAGGTGTAAATTTATTTTGAATTTCAAAAGATGCTTCTAGTCATCTCAGATTATACTCTGAACTATGCATAGTTCTAATCATGTTAATGATTCATGTTTTATTATAATGATGACTGTGATAAATATAACTTTGCTTATTATTTAAATGACACTATACTGATAATGTGTAGTGAGGGGTCCTTGGTGCTCTCTGAGCTTGCTTGTTTTCTTGCAAAATAAAACTTTTCTTGTTTTATAACCCAAACTAGGTTACATGATCAATGCTAGTAAGGAGTGATGTTTGCTGTCCTTTTATATTCCGGTGTTTTGCCTGTCTGTGGTGGGTGGGGACGGTCTTAGGGATTCTTTCTTTGGCTGTTTACTAATGGCTCTTTGGCAGTTTCTTGATTGGGGTGTTGTTTACTTGATCGTTGGTCTGAAGTTGACTTTGGAGTTAATCTATACTGATCTGGGTGCTGATTACCGGTTGAGAGGAATCTTTGTTCTCTTTTGGGCTGGTTGATTTTTTTCTTTTGCATAGTTTATTTTATTTTATTTATTTATTTATTTGGTTTGTCAATTGATTACAAGATAATAGGTATAAGTAAAAACATAGTTATGAATACATGGATGCATATAAGAAAAATAAAAGAAACAATAGGACAAGGACGGTAGGCACGTTGGGGCGCTTATGCCCGCCCCCTACAGACACCTCTTAGGAAAGGGGTGAGATCGATAGTAGAAAGTCTAATAGCCTATAGATGTTGTTAATGTTATTGATGGCTGATTTGTCAGAGTGCCAGGCTTCTAGATATTCCCCAGTGTTTTTGGACTTGGCCTGGTCTAGGTGGAAACTATGATTAAATCTGTCTATAGAGTTTACTTCCATGGAAGAAGAAATATGAGGTACTGTTGTACTAAAAGGATCGGTACAACTTAATGCAGCTGTGCTACTCTGGAGAAAACTACTCTTCAGTTTACTTCTGATATTTAAATGGAAAACTCTTCATTGCCACGGCACGGGCACGGCTGTGGGCTTCCTCCAGGGTGGGAGGCATCCGTGCACAAACCCCCACGTGCTGCGAAGAGGACGCTGCGGCTTTAGGAACCAACACTTTGAGCTCCCCTTCCACTTGGTAGGCCCAGGCCTATCTTCCAGTTGGGAAAGGGCCACGGGAGCATGGCGGTCACTTTCTCAAGGTGCCAGCAATTGCCTCGAGGCAGTAGAGCTCACTCCAGGTTTAAATGAATCCTAATTCTCCATGTTTAGATGCACAGCAAACCTTGGCGATTTGAGGGGGTAACCTTCCTGTTCCCTTCCTTGTCTTTGCCTGCAAAAAGCGAGGACAGAAGTAGATTCTCTGTTAGTCTGACGCAAGCCTGAGCTAGAAAGGTCTCATGCACTCCTGATTTTGTCAGCAGCTGGACTTTATAAGGGAGTCTTTCCTTTACAGATCAGGCTGGACAATGGCCCAAAACAAGCTGTTCAACAAGATCCTCAAAGCCTTGCAGTCTGACCGGCTGGCCCGATTAGCTAACGAAGGGGTAAGGATCTCCTGGCTCTTGCGGCTGCTCCGTCATGCTGGAACACGCCAGAATCTGAAGTGTTGTTCTCCTCCCTATTTTCTCTTCATCCCTGCCTTTTATCCGGTTGGATCTGGGTGCTCCTGGTTCACCCCCAAGCTTGACAAGAAGGGCTGCGATGCCATTAACTTAGTGAGGACTCTCTTTTTTTCCCCCCTTCCTTCCTTGGTTGCTTCCCGCAAGGCCTGCAATGAGCCCGTGCTCCGAAGAATAGCGGTGGACAAATGCGCTCGGCGTGTCCGGCAGGCTTTGGCAAGCATCAGTTGGGATGCCAAGCTGATCCAGTGGCTCCACTCCACTCTGGTAGAAACCCTCAGCCTGCCCATGCTGGCTGCGTACCTGGACGCCCTGCAGACCCTCAAGGGAAAGGTGAGCGAAGGGCTTGGAAGCGGGGAGAAGGGGGGGCCTTCTTCCAGGCCTTGGATTCCAGGGGTCCCCCCTGTGGAGCAGGGGCGTCAAGCTCGATTCCATGGAGGGCCGCACCAGGTTGTGTTTGACCTCAGCGGGATGGGGGGGGGGGGCATGACCAGCTCGAGGTCACTAAACAGGCTCCCAAGCTCCATTTCCGGCTGCGATGGCCGCCTGCCACCCTCTGCCAGGGAAAAGGCAGCTGGGAAGGACTGTGGGCCAACTGACCCTGTGGGCCGGCCCCCAGGCCTTGAGCAGGACCCCCCCGCCCCCGCTGCTGTATAGGAAATCCTCTCCTTTTCGGCAGAAGAACCCAGGGTGCCAGTTCTGACATTGTACAGGTAGTCCTCAATTGACAGCCTTCATTGAGAGCCCAAAATTTCTGTTGTTAAGCGAGACATTTGTTAAGTGAGCTTTGCCCCATTTTACGACCTTTCTTGCCACCGCTGTTAAGTGAGTCCCTGCAGTTGATAAGCTCGTAACACCGTTGTTCAGTCATCTGGATTTCCCCGTTGACTTTGCTTGTCGGAAGTTCGCCAAAGGGGGGGGGGGGGAATCGGGGGACCTTGGGAAAGAGCAACGGCCGTAAGCGTGAACCACTCGCCGAGCATCTGGATTCCGATCACCTGATCCTGGGGCTGCAAAGGTCATCGGTGTGAAAAATGCTCGTAAATCACTTTTTTCATGCCGTTGAATCTTTGAACGGTCATGAAATGAACTGTTGTAAGTCGAGGACTGCCTGGATTGCATTTTTTGCATTGTAACATGGAGGAGGAGGAGGAGAGACCAACGGGAG